CCCCTACAGGTGTCTGCACCTCATGACAACCTGCCCCAAGTTTCTGATGGGTAGTGTTAATGTTTATTTTATAGTCTGTCACATTTTCTCACTCAGATGTAAAAAAATGTGCATATCTGCCCCTCATGACCCCCACACTTCTGGTGGATGCCTTGTGTGTGTATGTATTTGTGCATTTGTATGTTTTGTGTGCACCTCTTTTTGCATGTCACGAACACACACACACACACACACATTTCCTCACACACGAGATCCCCACATTTACCCCCCACATAGGTCTTACTACATGTGCGTCTGTCCCTCATGATCCCCACAATGACTCCCACATTTCCCCCACACAGGTGTTACAACATGTGCGTCTGCCCCTGATGACCCCCAAGTTCCTGGTGGGAACCGTGGGTGCCGACCTACTAATCAAGAGCGACGAGGCGTGTCGCGACCTGGTGGACGAGGCCAAGAATTATCTCCTCCTGCCCCAGGAGCGGCCACTCATGCAGGGACCTCGCACGCGACCCAGGAAGCCAATCAAATGTGGGGAGGTTTTATTCGCAGGTGAGTTGTTGTTTTGTATGTGTGCTGTTGTCTTAGCGTGACGGAGTGTGTGTGTGTGTGTGTGTGTGTGTCTGTTTGCGTAGGTTGTTGGAGGGCGACACTTGCAGGGTTTACTTCTTTTCTTTTCCTCTAGTATTTCTGTCTCTGAGGGAGATGCTGGTAAGTTGTACTTCTTTTCTTTCCATCTAGTATTTGTTTCTGTGAGGGAGATGCTAGTAAGTCCTGGATCTACTTCTTTTCTTTCCATCTGCTGTTATTGTCTATCTGTCAAGCTTTTTTTCTGCACTGAGTGATCATTATTGTGTCCGTGTGCTTTTCTCTACCGTACTCAAATGAACAAACAGGCCTTTTTATTTGGGCCAAATTTGATGCTGATTTGATTGGCCTGAATGTTTTTTCTCTAACCATCAAAGTGACCATCTGACTGACTACCAATGTAACTGACGGTGCTACCTTTCTGTCCTCCAGTGGGTGGCTGGTGTAGCGGTGATGCCATCTCTAGTGTGGAAAAGTACGACCCCGGGAGCAATGAGTGGAGGCTGGTCGCGCCCATGAGCAAACGCCGCTGTGGGGTGGGCGTGGCTGTACTCAATGACCTTTTGTATGCCGTGGGTGGTCATGATGGGCAGTCATACCTGAACAGTATTGAAAGGTAAGGAGGGGTTTGGAGGGGAGGGGCAGACATTACAGGCAGGCATATCTCAACAGTATTGAAAGGTGAGGAGGGGTGGGGGGGGGGGGCATTACGGGCAGGCGTATTTCAACAGTATTGAAAAGGTGAGGAGGGGGGCATATCTCAACAGTACTGAAAGGTGAGGAGGGGTGGGGAGGGAAGGACATTACAGGCAGTCATACCTCAACAGTATTGAAAGGTGAGGGGGGGAGGGGGTGGTCATGATGTGCAGTCTTTTATGACCTTCTATTTGTGTTGCAAGTGCCAAAAAACTCTTACTAACATTATGTGTTTACATGTTTGGTTTTAACGTTGTTTATATGTGTGTGTTTTGTTCTAATATTGATTGTGTGTGTATGTGGTTCTAATGTTGTTTGCGTGTGTGGACGTAACGTTGCCAACGTACACTGTGTGACCCCCAGGTATGACCCACACACCAATCAGTGGAGCTCCGACGTGGCACCGACAAGTTCCTGTCGTACAAGTGTGGGTGTCGCCGTGCTGGGGGACTTCCTGTATGCTGTAGGGGGTCAGGATGGAGTGTCTTGTCTCAACTATGTGGAAAGGTAAGTGGAGTGAAGGGGTGAGGGGAGGGTTGGGGAGATAAAGGTACACGGCCATTGTCTTGTCTCTCAATAAGGTCATTTGCGGAAGAGGTTTTTATTGCCCAAATAATGTTTTTGTTTAATAAGAGAGGTCCTGTTTTCACAGAGGTAAATCTGGGTTATACCCCTGGCTGGTCACGCATTATTTTATGTTTTATTCTTTAATTGCATGCCATATTGCTCTTGATATAAAAATTGTCGTGATACAAGGTGCCTAAGACAATGTAGTCTGTAAATTAAAAGTTAACTCACTCACTGCCAGGTATTTCTCGGCAGGATAACTGAGGAATGCCAGGCTTTCCGGACCCTTTTCGAAACATCACTGTGAGCTTATTATTTTGTGTACAGCATTGAACTTTTCCACAAACAATGACATTGAAACATACTCAACAAATCTTTAAAAAATTTGTGATAGGCCTACCTTTACCGTGTGAAATTTTATGAATTTGTGAATATGTGGCAAAATCGAGAAAAAAAACTTTTACATAACATTGAGGTGCTTGGTACATTCAGTTGATATGCAAGCCTTTATATCTTTATCTCTGCAAGAAATAGATTTTGTTTCAACAGACAAATGTTGAAGAGTCACTTTGAAAAGATATCTGACGAAGTTTATATAACTGGAATATCGTTTAAGTCATCAGTCCACCCATCCTGAGCATCAACATCTGGGTGTGTGGTTGGAGGACGGGGCATGGCCACTGGGGGAGGGGTGCCACTATTTGAAGTTTGTTGTGAAGACATAGGAGGGTCTATGTCAGCTGTATTCCTATCATTTAGGGTCTAAATCTACGTTGTGTGACCTTTGACATTTGCGTGACGGGACCAGGAAGCATCGGATCATAGGTCTGAGCATGGGGAACACCCGATTTTAGATCTAGGCCTAGATCTAGCACAATTTTCATCTTCACTTCAGTCCGCACCTCTCCTATTTCCTTTCCTATACTCATCATCAACTCTGTATGATGGTTCATCATCACTATCATCTGCAAAAAATCTAAATCTGACCCTTTATTGACGAATGGGTCCATCAATTCAAATGTTCCGACCTCGTTGAGATGCTGTCGCCATCGTAATTGAGCGTTAGTAGTTTTTAGTTCGTTTTGGGTGAGTTCGAAAAAGTCAGATTTTTAAGTAGCTTATTCAAGGGAAGTTACTGCAACAATGCGGAATCGAAACTAAACTGGCTTATGTCGCCGCCTACTTCCGACTGCCAAGCCCGAAACGCGTCGGGGAATGTTTGAAAAATAGTAGTAAAACGCACCCGACGGGTTTCGGGTTTGGCAGACAGCGGTCTACGCGGATCACCCGACAGGGTTCGGGCATGGCAGTGAGTGAGTTAAGGAATTAAGGTCATTATTGAATAAACAAGATTACTATTGAATAAGGTAATTGTTGAATAAAATATCAGTGTTGAATAAATAATATCACTGAGGGGCCTGCAGAAAAAATAAAATCATTTTTGTATTTAAAAAAAAAAAAAATATGTTAAAGCTGTAATGAATAAGAAGACGGTTTTTCGTGCTGTGGAAGAGTGAAAAAACTATATGTCTGTGGAATAGTGGGTTTATGAATTATATGCACTGCTGAATCAAAAGTCTGCTTGTTGGTCCTGTACCTAAGATTTGTTGACTGGGACTGATAATGCCATGAAGACCTTTGCCCGCGGTCATGGTGCCCCTCTCTCCCTCTCTGCACAAACAATCTGTTCCCCCAGGTACGACCCACAGACAAACAAGTGGCAGAAGGTTGCCTCCATGAGCACCCGCAGGCTGGGGGTGGGTGTTGCCGTGTTGCAGGGCTTCCTGTACGCTGTGGGTGGCAGTGACGGGACCTGTCCGCTCAACACAGGTAATATATATATATATATATATATATATACAGTCAAACCTGTCCTGACGGCCACCTCTATAAGACGGCCACCTGTCCACTTTCCATTTCCCCCCTTGCGTTTTTTCTATATACAATTTAACTATAAAATTAGGTACTAGAAACTAAATTTTCTAAGTAGGTGTATGCCAAATTTATCTGTTCCATTTGAAAGGCCTGTATCCACTGAGCATTTTAGTACCATTCTTTAACCTCTCAGTCAATTTTTAAGAAAATGGTAGTTGTTTAAAATTTGATCAAATTTGTTAAAGTCAGTCACTGGCTGCAACCCCATGACAATAAAAAAGTAACAAGTCCACTAAACATCTCCACATCAACAGAGTACAATCACTATAACAAATATATGGAGCCTAATTTTTTTCAAGACTGAGATCATTACAAATCAGTATTTTATCGCCTCAAACACGATGATCTGTCATTATTTCGACAAAAACATCGAGCGTTGACCCGGCTGGCGCCGCACCGGCCCCCGCGGCGAGCGAGTCGGCTTATACTGTAGTGTACCCCGCGTGCGGTGTCACATGTTTTCTGAGTCTTGCAGAAGGATTGATGTAAAATAGTTCCAGGCTTATTACTTTATTCTAATAGGAAATAGACTGATCTTTTCATTCATACCTTTTTTAAGCCGGTATTTTACATATTTTGGGTAAAAAGTGATCTTTAAACATTTTGACAGCATTTTTAAAAGCTTTCTATTTAAACAACAAAGGCCAAATATATATCACGGGAAAAACAGTTTAAAGCGCTACAGTTCTCCACCAATGAAAAGACAGTATTTAGTCATCGCTCGTTCCACGAAGCATTTGAATGCATGTGTGTCAATTTTTGAACCGGCCGACCACGCATTCCGACCGCGAGGGGCTTCGCTTTCGCCGGCGATTCTCCAGCTCCTAATAATTGGACATATAAACAACTTACGCCATTGTAACGAGGAAAAGCTGAACTTTTACAAGGTGTACGGCATTTGGTGTTTTATAGCGAAAGAGCACAGAGACAGCAATCGGAATTACCCCGATTTCACCGATACCACGCGGTCAGAAGGCCACGAGTGCCCGCAAGGCTGTGTTTACGCTACCTAGTAAAATGGGCGCCTGTCCAACGCTGCCGCGGCCACCATATTTTAACACACAACTCCTATTACACTAAGCAATAACACCTGTCTTAGATTGGCCCCAGGCGTTGTGGGCGAGCCGTCACAATTCAATCACCTGTCGTTGTTAAGTAGTCCCTCCAACCGATCATGTTGCGTAGGCCCTTCCCACTGTTTACTAATAGCTACCAATTTTCAACTGCTGGTGAGCTAAGCGTGTGATCCCTCATAACCTATAAGCCCCGCCTAGAACTCATACACAAATTGTAAGTGAGATGAGTGGTCACTGTTTACCCAGTCTGTAACAAAGGACGTCAACATGACAGAAGTGTCGCTTGTTCTCTGAGTGGTGGCGACCCATGTGTTTGTTTTAACATGGCACTTGGTCTTCCTCGTCTGATACATTTCGTTTTATTGTCACCCTTGTGTAAGCACTTCGATAGCCGTGCGCGAGAACTGGGTCACGGCGGCCGGTAGCAGCCGGTGATTTTGTGTATCGGTTATTTCTTTCGTTTTGCGGGTGTTGTCGGCAATTAGCGGGTGCTTCGTAACCTAACGGAGCACATGACTTATCGACGCGCTCTTTTTGTAGAGCTTTGGACGCTGAATCCAGTGGTGCCACTCTCATCCGCGTCGGTTTGTGTTTTCGTGGAGAAACAATGGGTTGAAGTTAAGGTAAGTTGAGCTGATTGTCCTGCTTTTATTTATGAATATACCAAAAAATTATGCCAATATACAGTTTAAGCAGCCCTTTTCCCTTTAAAATAATATATTATGAGTGAGTTTGTTAGGATCCCTTGGAAATGCGAGGTAGCAGAAATGACCACCCTTTCCTAATTAAGGGCTCGACTCGGGACCCAGGCCTAGCGGCCAGCGGCCAGCGTTGGGCAGCGCTGGCGTTGGCTGTGAAAGTTAGCCTATTGTTGTGTTTTGTTTTTGATTTGTAAAGCATTATAATCTTACTTTCTTTGAATGCTTAAAAAATCTGTATTGTTGTTAATTGCAAGGAATATTTTTTAATATGTTGTCTCTATTCTTCTTGACATGGATGGTACTTGTGGTGACTAATTTACTTGTTTGTTGTATAGTGTTTAATCTGTCTGTAGAGGTGAAAGTCAGTTAAGGTTAATCCTGTTGTTTTGTTTTTAATTCTTTCTTTCACATGAATATTTTTTTAAAAAATGAGCCAAAATGATACTGGTGTTAGTTTAAAAAAAAAATGAAATGTTGTCGTAAAATAAAGAGGCAGTCATAGTGTCGTACTTCATCATGATGATGTTACTGTGAACTTTTTTTTCCTCAGTCTTCTTTTCTTTCATTTTTATTGGACACAACCTCACAATCTTTTGATGTAATTTTTTTTGTTTCAGCTATGACAATGTATGCCACCCAGTTCAGGGAGCTGGTGGAAAGCTTCTCCCTCCCTTCAGTTGACCTTGGCGGTCTGTTGAACAGGTCGGTCTTTCGGCTTTTGGAAACAAATGACAGAAAGACAACGCAGACAGCCCACATCATCTTGGAGACTTCAAATCCAGACTGCACCGTCGTTTCCCTCAACGTTTCCATTCGCCGCTTGGCCGACTCCGTGATACATTTGAAAAAGCGGATCGCCAAGGAGTGGCCTCGCCTGGTAGCCTTCATGAACGAACCGTTCAAGATGCCGACAAAGAAGGCTGCCAGCGAGCCACGTTCAGCCCCACCCCTCCCTGAGGAGGTGGAGGTTTTACCTCCTCATGTTGAACCTTCTGCCATGACCTTGAAGGGAGACTGCACGAAGTGTGCAGAGCAGCGACACGTACACAGCTCCGCTTCTGCAGTCTTCCGTAAACAGGTCATGGACAGTAAGCGCCAAGTGCGCAGTGTGACAAAGCTGTTCTCTGTACGGCGTGTCAACCAAGAGCGGGCGAGAAGTGCCAAACAGAAAGAGCGCCTCCGCGCACAGTCCCGCTCTTGCCGTGCAGAGAACAAAAAACTCAAGGCACAGGTGGCTACCCTCCAGACAGATTTGTCTGTTGATTGGCGTGCCATGCTGGCGGCACAGAAGAGGAAGACTAAGCAGGTGGAGCGTCAGCTGAATCAGACGAGACTCTCTGTTCGTTCATAGAGACTACGCTCTGCTGACCTCAGCCAGTACATCTCAAATCTTGAAGCAGATCTCGACGAGCTGAGAACTGAGCTCGAGGCACAGCAGAGCAAAAACAAGGACAATGTCTCGTCTGTTCTTGGCAAGACGTACACTACGCAGATCCGTAAGTGCATCTACACCTGCTTGGTCAGTCAAGTACCCATCGAGAAGGCTGGGCCTATCATCTCTTACGTGGTAAGCGAGCTCACAGGGCATACAGTCAGCAAGGTCCCTTCCTCATCTACGTCTGCCCAAATGGCATATGAGATGGGGGGCCATATCAGACTTGCAGGTTGCAGAGGAGCTGTTCAGATCAAAAGTGGCCACTCTGTCATGGGATGCGACGTCTCTGAAAGGTGAGCATGTGAATGAAGTCCACATTTCTGTGGGTGACCGCAAGTCACTCACAATCCAGGTTCAGGGGTTGCCAGGAGGAAAGGCAGAGGACTACATAGCACAAATTTCAAGTTCTCTGCATCATCTGTCCTCTGCCTACGCTCTTTACAACAAAGTCGAGCAGCCCCTGATCTTTGCCGCCTTTCAGAGAGCCATCTCGTCGACCTTGACAGACCGAGCTGCTGTCAACAAATGTGTGACGGACAAGCTGTCGCAGCAGCTCGGGAAGGACCTGGTTCAGCTCAACTGCAACCTCCATCCCCTCGACGGGCTCGCTACCACGGCGAAGAAGACTTTAAGAACATTTGATTCAGAGAGAGGGATCACTGGCCGGGCATTTGGAGTAGAGGGAACAGCAGCCAACTTGGTGCGCGGCTTGTCTAAAATGCGGTGAGTTTTTATGTGAACCTTCATTTTCTCTGTACACTGTACATCAACTTGGAAATACATATCTTGTGTTGCTGTGTTCACTTTCTCCGTTTCTGTTTGTGAAGACTTTTCTTTGTCTGGTGCCTTTGCTATGTTACAATTTCCTTTTACGTTAACATTTCACATTACTGGAAAGAACTCCTATTAAAATCACACTAAAATCTTTTTGCAAAATGGAATGGTTGAAACAGAAGACTTCCAATTTTCAAATCTAAAAAGCTCACCCTTTACATTTTAATAATTTTTGTTTTATGATATTTATTTTTCTGTACAATTATCATTTTCTTCAGCTACAACCAGAGGTCAGGAGACCCTAATGGCTTTGTGACCTTTTTGAAAAAATCAGGTCTCAGCCCTGGGTTGATGCCGCGCTATGTGGGCAACCGCCTGCACATCCTGTTCCATCTGTCCGGTGTGATGTTCTCCAAGAGGCCAGATCTCTTACTGTACTTGAAAAAGTACTGTACCTCTCAGCAGCTACGTTTGTCCCTCCTGAGTGACCTGCAGAATGAGGACATCTCTGTTCAGCTGCAGGCACTTGGTAAGTATTGTCCTGGTTTTTATTTTTGTATTATTCCATGATTTGAATTTTTCACAGATTTGTAGAGCTCCGGGTAAGAGGATACTTTATTACCTTATCCAGTAAGTTGTTGAAGTAGATATAAGTGGCACTGGTAAGTGGGTATCTGCGGCGACAGATTCTTGTATTTTCATGGTTCTGCATGTTTATTTATGTACGAAGGAAAGAAATTGTGGTATTCTTAGCAGAAGTGGATGGTCTCTTATGGTCTGTACTTTTTCAAATTTCAGGCTTATTCGGTAAGCTGCTGACTGGCCCTTGGATGAAGGAGCTGTACTGTGGAGAGGAGGAAATGAGCCATATGGAGGGGACCTCCAAGCTGATACGCCATGTTGAGAACCTACGCAGCGTAGAAGCTGACCCTTCCATTTTGGTTTCTTCAACTGACTGCCTCTTCGGGGAACCCTTGCAGGACGACGATGAAACACTACGTCAGCTGAGGGCAGTACCTTCTCACCATGCAGAGGTGCTGCCCGAAACCATCAAGAAGCTCGCTGGAGCTTTCGTCGTTCTGCTTGACAGACAGCTTCTACGTTATCTTCAGGGCCCTCTCTCTGAACCAACGCCCAGCCTTCTTGATGTGACTTCTGCCGCTCCTGTGCATAACATGCTTTCGGAGCGGACCTTAGGGCGCTTAGATGCTCAATTTCGTCGAGCGCCTAACGCCACCATCGGGTTCCTTGACGGAAAAGTGAAGTGGCAAGCGAACAAGACAGCAGAGTGGTTGAACAGCAAGCCCTCTGCTGAACAACATGAGATTGTCTCTTTCGCAATTTCTCAAGGAGCCCGAAATCGAAGCGCCCTCAAACAGAAGGAGCAGGAGAACACCAACGTCAAGCGCCAGCGCCAGGTGGAATTGGCCCAACGGAGGGACCGCACAGATCGGAAGAAGGTGGAGGTCACAGACTTCCTCACAACAGGAACTGAGGGAGACCTTTTCTGTGACCTTTCTGAAGACATGGTCCACCTTTTTCATTCCATCAAAAACACTGACTCTGCTGCGGTCAGTGGGGTGAAGTGTACTCACACCTGGGATGTGGATGGAGAGGATGTCATATTCCAAGCAGAATTGCTACGTTTTGAGACATTCAAGCGGAAGCCTTGCCTCGTAATAACGTACCAAGAGGACGCCACAACAGCTTCTACAGAGAGCAAAATCCCCGTCTCTGAATTTTTTACGGATGCTCTCTTTAACGATGTGACATTGTTGTAGGCTTCCGCTTGAACATCCTCTCTATTCACATTTCTTCACCCTCACCTCCATTCCCCCGCCCCCCTAAATTCCAGTGGCGGACACTTGTTCTCCTTGACTCATTAAATTCCTCTTCTGTGTTGCCACCTGTGCCTTTCTTTCGGATTATTATTTTCGACTTTTCGATTGGATTACAAACTGCGAGGGGTAAGTACTCTGTGTACACTGTGTTCTTTGTTCTTTGTGTTGTGTGTAATACTACAGGTCACCAAGCCAAGAGAGAAGTACTAACTCTGTGTTCCTGTTGTGAGGAGTACTAACGATCAGCATCATTCTGGTATCATCTTGTCACACGGTCAGCCCTGATTACATCACAAACCTTTTGCCTTAGGCATACCTTGTGTCTGTATCCACTCACATAAAAGCAGCCTTTATGTACCAAAGTATACACCATTGCTCCAGGAGATAACGTGCAAAATTTGAAGCAATTATCTTTAAAAAATGTGGAAGTTATGAATGATTTTGTAATTTTTCTGAGCGAAAGTGAGCCAAATCAACATGCAAATGAATTAATTTCTTTCAAAATAAACCATTCACTTACCTGTTGCCCTGTTTATTGTTAATAACAGACAATAATGCCGTGGACCTGAAAAAATGATGCAGTTCCGAGCAGTATTTAAAAAGTTACAGACATATTATGAGTTGCTGCCGTCATTTCGGTCACAAAAATTGAGTCATTAATAATACAAAGGCCATATATAGACAGTAAATTCCGATCATCAATTTATCATAACTTTTGAACTAATTAAGATAGGAAGTTAATTCTAGTATCTTTGTAAAGCTCTTGAAAAGCTCTTTTTAATGATGTATGACACATAGGGGTAGTAGTATTTTGAATTTTTTGTCCAAGTGCCTACCTTGTGCAAAATCAGCAACAAAATAAAAATTACAAACAAAATACAAACCACAACCAACAACAACAACAACAATGCGGCTTCTTTCGATTGGAACCTCAGATGGGAATGGTTAGTTTTCTTTATCTTGATCAGTCCTGCCTAAGACGACCACCTGTCTTATATTGCCACTTTTCTCCTTGACAATGGGTGGCCGTCTTACACTGGTTTGACTGTAAATATAAATATTCTCCATAGAACCTTGAAAAATAGGAACTTCACGAGGTCAGAGAATTTCTTCATGTAAAGCAGCTTTTTGTGTGTTCAGGTAAGTTGCAGTGCACTGGATAAATAAAAAGGTTGAAAACCCCCCTGGGATTTGAAATCTTCTTGAGGTAACAGGAATTTCATTTTGAACAAAGTCTTCTATATATATATATATATATTATTTTTAAAAACTCCCCCCCCCAAAAAAAAAGGAAATAAAACAGCCCTTTACTTTTCCTACCATTATTCTAGTGGAACATTTTTATAGTATCTTTTTATTCTAACATTTCCAGTGGAACATTTCAATAATTTCTTATTGCTCTGACACTTCTCCTGCCATTATTCCAGTGGAACATTTCTCTTGTATCTTAATTTAGGTAGCGTGAACACGGCCTCGCGGGCACTTGCGGCCTTCCGACAGCGTGGTATCGGTGAAATCGGGGTAATTCCGATCGCTGTTTCTTTGCTCTTTCGCTATAAAACACCAAATGCCGTACACCTTGTAAAAGTTCAGCTTTTCCTCGTTACAATGGTATAAGTTGTTTTTATGTCCGATTAGTAGGAGCTGGAGAATCGCCGACGAAAGCGAAGCCCCTCGCGGTCGGAATGCGTGGTCGGCCGGTTGAAAAATTGACACGGGTGCATTCAAATGCTTCGCGGAACGAGGGATGATTAAATATCGTCTTTTCATTGGCGGAGAACTGTAGAGCTTTAAACAGGCTTTCCCGTGGTATGTATTTGGCCATTGGCGTCTAAATAGAAAGCTTTAAAAAATACTGTCAAAATGTTTAAAGATCACTTTTTACACATATGTAAAATATCGGCTTAAAAACCATATCCAATAAAAGATCAGCTTATTTCCTATTAGAATAAAGTAATCAGCTTGGAATTATTTTTCATCAATCCTTCCGTGAGACTCAGAAAGCATGTGACCCCGCACGCGGGGTACACTACAGTATACAGCCGACTCACTCACCGCAGGGCCCGGTGCGGCGCCGGCCGGGTCAACGCTTGGTGTTTTTGTCGAAATAACGACAGATCATCGTGTTTGAGGCGATAAAATACTGATTTGTAATGATCTCACAGTCTTGAAAAAAATTAGGCACCATATATTTGTTATAGTGATTGTACTCTGTTAATGTGGAGATGTTTAGTGCTCTTGGTACTCTTTTATTGTCTGTCAAACATTGGGTTGCAGCCAGTGACTGACTTTAACAAATTTGATCAAATTTTAAACAACTACCATTTTCTTAAAAATTGACTGAGAGGTTAAAGAATGGTACAAAAATGCTCAGTGGATATAGGCCTTTCAAATGGAACAGATAAATTTGGCATACAGCTACTTTGAAAATTTAATTTCTGGTACCTACTTAATTGTTCTTACTCTTCTTCTACTATTATCTCAGAGGAACATTCCTGTCACAATTTATTGTTCTAACACTTCTCTCACCATTATTTCAGGGGAGCCTTTCTATCGTATCTTATTGCTCTAGCGCTTCTACTATTATTGCAGGAGAACATTTCTACCGCATCTTTTTGTTCTAACACTTCTCCTATCATCTTTACAGTGGAACGTTTCGACCCGCGCAGCAATCGCTGGACGCCAGTGGCCCCGATGGGCACCAGGAGGAAGCACCTGGGCGTGGCCGTGTATCAGAACATGATCTACGCCGTGGGGGGCCGCGACGACACCACAGAACTCAGCAGTGCTGAGAGATACAACCCACAGAAAAACGCCTGGGAGCCGGTGGTCGCAATGACCTCCAGGAGGAGTGGGGTCAGTTCCTTCATGCACAAATTAATTGCAGATGATGTGTTTTTGTGTTTGCAGTGCTTTTTGAGAATGTCAGTAGTTTTTTGTGGGGGGTGAAGAGTTGAGCTTCTTGGTGACAGCATACAGTGTTTGTTTGTCTGTTTCTCTTTCTCTCTGCTTGTATGTTTCTCATTTTTTGTTTTATGCTTCTCATTTTTCTAGGGGGTTTTTGCTTCCCATTCTCTCTTTCCATTATTTGATTTATACTACTCTCATTTTTTCTATTTTTATGTTTTTAATTTTGATCAATTTAACACTTCTGATTCTTGTTCACCAATTTCATGTTCTAGGCCAGGAAAGTGGGCCTTTTGATTTCTTGAACTTGCTCTATTTTTGTGTTGTTTACGAAATCCGGTCTGGTTTTTGTTGTTGTCTGTGCTGCAACGTCAAGTCTATTTTTGTGTTTTTTACGCTCTGAGATCTTGTTTATTTTGATGTTGTTTACGCTTTAATATCTGGTAAACTTTTTGGGGTGTTGTTTATGCTACAATACCTCCTTTTTGCTGCATCTCTTCTCCTTTCATATTTCTTAAAATAAAATCAATTGTAATTACAAATTGAGTAGCCTATAATCTCCTATGTAATTTTTGTGAGTTTGTTACAGAGATGCCAACCACAGAAGACCGAAATGAGTATTGGGAAATATGAAAATGTGTATTTTCAGGGGAAAATGTGTATTCCCCACGACCGACCGTCCAACTAGTAAAATGTTCACTGTGTCCAGCAATATTTCCTGAAAAAAAATTACTAGCTAACCAGCTCGAAAAAGGGAGTACACACGCTTACAAATATACATGTGTCCAGTCAACAACATGTTAGTGTTCAGTGTCGTACTGGGGTCTTGTTTGAAGTATTTCAGTCCATTATAATATTTTCGTCTCATTATTATATAAAAAATTAATCCTGCTTTGAGCATTCGAAAGGGTCTAGAACAAGAATTTCGACTATCAAGAACCAGTCTGGGTGTCAGAATTCATGTTATGAACTGACAGACTAAAGTTATTGCTCAACAAACTCAGAGAAGAGCAATAACTTGAATGGCTCAAGTAGACCCAACAAGCACTGTGAGAGTTGTAACAACTGTGGGAGGGCAAGATGCAGTGACACTGAAAATCTGCCAGTCTTGAAACAGAAAGCTACAACATACACGGTAGGTATAATTTACTATCACTATCACCCATCCAATGAAACACGAACACTTTATTTCAATAACACAGACTTGCAAAGTATGAAGGGTCCCGATTCCGCACACGGCCTGCACCAACACGCTCTTTGCAGAGAGCTCTAATCAAAATACTGAAATTGCTTCCAAGTTGTTGTCCTCTGGTGTGGCCTTCACACCCCCACCCTCCCCCCTCAGTGTATCTTTTCAAAAAAATCAATAATCCCCTCCCCTATTCCGTAGTCCTATACTTCGCCGAGCCGTTACTCCCACTAAAGACGGTCTTTGCTCACACGATGCCGTATTTTTATGATGCGAATGCGCGCAGGGCATAGAATCTAGACCTGGCTAATAATAGGTCTATGGCACAGGGTCACTGGCCGGTCACGATGGCGAGCCAGACAATCTAAAAATCGGACGACGCTTGTATTTTCTTTCCTTTTTTCCCCACAAGTGACAGCACAGAGACGAGTTGGAGTATTGATTAAACTTCATTTGCATGACGACACAGTGTTTATACTGCACAACCTGCATGTCACAAATGTTGCGTTATCAGACTACCACTAGCAAACTTCTTTGTGGTAACGAAAGCGAAAGTAGATCTTGAATTTCCCGATCGAGCCTCGGTGAAAGTGAAATATACTCTCGGACGGGGAAAGGCTGAACTTACTGACCTTATCGGACTTGGTTTTCAAATATTCCAGTATACTGAAACTATTTTGACAAAAGATGGGACTTGAGATAATTAGGATTACTCGTCCAAGCTGAATCTCGTATTTTTCGCATTCCAGGATGCGTATTTTTACATGAAAAGTCGTATTCGCGTATTTTCGGCAAAAAATCGTACTAAAATACGTAAAATCGTACTGGTTGGCATCTCTGTTGTTATCTCCACTGCCTATGTCGTGAGTTTGCTGTCGCTCATGTCATGTCAAGGTCGTGAGATTGGACATGTGACCAGTGACACTCAAGCTTCCCTGTTTGTTTCTCCAGGTTGGTCTAGCAGTGGTCAATGGTCAACTGATGGCCATCGGTGGTTTTGACGGGACTACCTACCTAAAGACTGTGGAGATCTATGACTCGGAGCAGAACTGTTGGCGGATTGTGGGAAGCATGAACTATCGCAGGCTAGGGGGCGGGGTTGGGGTGGTCAAGTTGCCACAGAATGACAGCCATCTTTGGTGATATTATGTTCAAGTCTTGCCTCGTATTTTGCTCATGAGGTATAGTGAAAGCCATCCTTGATGATGTGACTCAAGTTTTGTGATGTTATGCCAGTTGGGAAGAGTGATGGACATCTTTGGTGATATGACATTCGAGTTTTGCCCGTGTGAGACAGAGAGTATCAGTTGTGCTGATGTGACCATGCGATGTTCTGCAGCTACATTTATCAGAGGATTTCCTTTGAAATGGGGTGAAAAGAGTTTGGTTTTTGTTGGTGCAGGACTTTTGTTATGAAATGGTATTAGTGGGTGCTTTTAGGTTGTTTTTAAAAAAAATGACACATGTGTTTGAATGTTTGGGAAGGCTGAAACTTGAGAGAGAGATGAGACTGGTTCTGATACTGATAGAAGCATTTATTTATGTCTGTTTGATTATAACCTGACCAAGTGCATTTTATTTTTTTGCAACGGCTTGTGATGTTGTAGATTCTCGTTAATGTTTATGAACATGAAATGATGCGAGTTTCAGAACGGTGGCGCTATAGGTTTTCTCTGTCACTGCAGAATCTCTGTCTGTGAGAATGTGCCAGTGTCTTTGTACTACTATAGACATGCTCTCTCTATCATTCTGTCAACAGATATTCTCTTTGTGAGAATGTGTCAATGTCTTTATACTGCTTGTCATTCTCTGTCACGACAGACAACTCTCTTTGTCACAACAAACAACTCTGTCACAACAAACAACTCTCTCTGTCACAACAAACAACTCTCTCTGTGAGAATATGCCTGTGTCTTTATTCTGCTAGTCATTCTCTCTGTGTCGTTCTGTCACAACTGACAACTCTCTTTGTCTGTGAAAATGTGTCAGTGTCTTTATGCTACAACATACATTCTCTCTCTATCTCAACAGTCTCTCCCCTTGTCTTAGTGAATGTGCCAAGTACCGGTATCACCACAGATGCTCTCATGACTCTCAGTGTCCGTAATTAGATCTGATTACCTTTTGTTGTTATTTTCATCTTGAGATATGCAGTATAACACGAATAGCTTGAATTCTTTGAGACCGGCTTCGGTAGTTCGAGGGATCCGTAGTTCAAGGGAGATCTTACAAAGATAAAGAAAAGAAAATGGGACCGCAGGCACAGTTGGACGGATGCGTGATTTCGATTCTTCTGTGTCGACCTATCCGTGTTATACTGTATATCCTTTCAGGCAGGCTATTATTAGTGCTAATCGTTTGTTGGTTCTACTCATTTATTTGTAGGTTCCTTCTTTTAAAAAAGCATGTGCACTGCGTTCCACGTTGGCTTTGTCTCAGACGCTTCAAACACACAGATGTCTGGGTGGAAATCCTATGAGCCAACTGGTATCCAGGCACTGTTTTGTCAAGTAGACCTACATGGTTTCGTTCTGTTCTGTAGATATTTGGTATTTCTGTGCAGTCAATCGGAGTGAGTTCATCTTGCTTCTTCCCTTTTTCGTGGTTCTGATTGTATGAGAAGAGCTATAGACAAATGTCTGTGCACTTACAACTCCATACACAGATGTCTCTGAATTCAGAACTCTATTGATATGATAGACAGATGTCTGTGAATTCAGAACTTCATTGATCTGTAGACAGATTGTCTGTGAATTCAGAACACTATAGATCTATACGGTGCACAGATGTCTGTGAATTCAGAACACTATAGATTTATACAGTACACAGATGTCTGTGAATTCAGAACTCTATAGATCTATACACAGATGTCTGTGGATTCAGAACACTATAGATTTATACACAGATGTCTGTCGATTCAGAACACTATAGATCTATACACAGATGTCTGTGAATTCAGAACTCTGTTGACAGACGATTGTGCACTCAGAATTCAAACAGAATGGTTAATGTACTCTGAACACTTGTGTCTTTTTCATTTTGTCCTTGTGTATTTTGAGTGTCCAGACATCCAAGACAAGTCTTTCTAGCAGACATTTGTCGTCTTATGCACATGTACATACCTTGTAAAAATGTTTTTTTTAAACTAAATGTTTTAATAAAAATTTACTCCATGATCCAAAAGAGTCAAGAGTTAACAATATCCAAGGTTTTTTAGTTGTTGTGTTTAGATTTAGTAGAGGTTTTACGGTGCTCGCAACTTCATAAGGTCATATGAGCGCCACAAGATTAGAAGTGTTACAAGAGAGTAACAAACATAAAAAAGAAGAAGGGGAGATAAGGACGATAGATGTTTTGATAGGAAAGAAGAAACAAACCACACCACACCAGAGCACCCGCCAATCACCCACTAGTTGTGTATTTTTGAAAGTTTTACAGCACTTACAACACAAATAGAAGGCCACGCAAGTACATGTCAAAGATTTGAGATGTTACTGAAGAGTAATCTAAACAAAAAATAGGAGGAAAGATAAGAATGATAAATATTTGATAGGAAAGAAGGAGCAAACCGAACTACACCAGAGCACACACCAACCAACAATTGCTCCCACTACCGACAAACAGTTATCTTCAGCACAAGGTGTGGACAGAAGAAATACAGACAAGGAGGTAATATAGAGTACTCATAACACGATATCTCCATTTCTTTTCCAATACCAGTATTTATTTTTTCATTTCCAGTGTAAAACATTTTCCACTGTATTGTATACATGGACAAAGAAGATTTAGAGAGAAGTCTCAGCTGTTCCATCAAATGGGACAGGCTAAAGCACAGAGTCCCTGACAACAGAAGTGGAACAATTTCCTCTCTATGTGAAATAAATTCATTTTGTCGTTCTGGTGAGAAGTCCAAGCTGAACCTGAGCAACAAATTTCTCATCAAGACAACAGGGCTACAGTACTGAACCTCATGCAAATATCTCTACATTCACGCTGATTCCATAGACACCACAAAACTCTTGATCGACTAAATGGACTCGAATTTATAAGAATGTAGACATTTTTAACCCCCCCCCCCTCCCCAATTAGAATCTGCATTATTTGGGGAACTGGTTCCTCCAATCCTGCTTACTGTTATTTGTGTTTGTGTTGGGGCCAACCCTTGCTGAGAGGGAAACAACACCCCAGGACATTTACTGAGTCAGAGATGCTCGATAAAACAACCTCCCCTTGTGGGGATCTAACTCACAGCTTCTACATATACAATGATAAAGAGCCGTATTCATTTCACGACTAATCACGACACGTGTCGATAAGAAAACTATTTCTATGAAATCAAAAGCGCCACACCAGATTTTTTCAAGACTTTCCACAGGCTGTTGGGTTGACAGAAAAAGGACAATGGTTATAAAGTAGTCCCACCCAACCACCAGAACCGTTTCGTCAAGGTCACTTTGTCTGATGGTAGACTGACAGCAGTCACAAAAAATCCATATATAGAGAGAGAGAACTTGGCCCGTTTTTTTTCTTACTTTCATAAAAATAAAATCAAATCTATTATGTCACAACTAAAGTGGAAAAAATCCCCCCACCCTCCTTGAATGCTATTCCCTGACTAATGACATGAAATAATAACTACTTACATCATAAGACATTATAATCCACAACAATGTTTTCTTTTTTGAGTGTCAGTGAAGCAGGTAACTTCAAAATACATGTGCATTAACATTAGTCGTATGAAAAGATGGGACAGGTTGCTGCGATGAAAAAAAAAAAGAATGTGGATGAAGGGGACGACGTGGTGAAAGTGAAAGAGCAATGAGGGGGGGCGCTACTGGTAGTACAGCTCCAAGTTCATCCCATCGTGGATTTCATCTGAGGAGGCAGTCAAGGAAGAAACAGAGGAAGGCTACAGGACCAAATTTGGAAAAATTGTCTTTAATTCTCTCATTGGCCAACGTCGTTACCCACAACGCAAAAGCCCACGAATTTTTTTGACATGTCAAACTAATGTTGGCCTTACTCCTGGCTTTGGCACAGCTAATGGGTTTTTAAAAAATTTAAGCAATGGCAAAGTGGCGCTGAGTGAATATATATATGGGCTCTATGCACAGCGAGTGTTAAAGTTAGACAGCAGCATGTGAAGTAAACTGTCACTGTCAGGGTCTGACTTAACCCTGAGATATAGCAGTCAATCACACTGCGGTACAACACCGTAATCACACCTGCATTATAGCACAGCAATCACACCTGTGATCTAGCATCACAATAACACCTACAATACAGCCTTACAATAACAGCTGCGATATAGCATCGTAATCACACCTGTGTTATAGCATCCCACCAATCACACCTGTGATAAAGCATCCTGATCACACCTGCGATATAGCATTGTGATCACACCTGCAATACAGCATCACAATGACATCTGCAATACAGCATAGCAAACACACTTGCAATACAGCTGTATAAAAAAACCCCAACTCCCATCTTTTACTCCTTAAAATTTTAAAGTCATGATATATATCAAGGTCAACCAGCTTCATTTCAATATGTTATAAAGTAAAGGATACAATCCCCGATTGTCACATGATCCTTGAAGATAGTGTACCTGAAAAATACACAAGGCAATGTGTCTGAATAATACACAAAACAATGTATTTGAAAAATATGCAAGACAATGACACAAGACAGGTCACAATAAGCCTGAAAAGTACACAAGATAATCCTACCTGAAAAATACACAAGACAATGTACCTGACAAAACCTAAAGATGGTGCACCTGAAAAATACAGTCCTTTAAAAAAGCCTTGAAGTTATGAGCCAATAACAGAAAGGTGAAAACACTGCACAACACGATTAAAAAAATATCTCCATTACTATTTCTAAGTATGTAAAGAGTCAATACTGAGTAAGACAATCATCCATACAAACGGTCACTTCCCATTTCCCCCCTTGCATTTTTTTCTATATATATTATAATAATAATGCCGTCTAAAATGTCCACCTGTCTAAGACAAGACAACCACTTCTCTCCTCAAAAATGGGTGGACATCTCGGGACAGTTTCAACTGACTAACAAAAAATGGTAATGCCTCCCCCCAAAAAAACCCCAAAACAAAACAGCGTCTCCATTTTGAGAGCCAAGATCTGTATTTAGATACTGATCAAATCAGGCTCATCATTGGACAAATTTATTTTGATTTTGAATACAGAGAAATTTGACTACTAAATGAAGACAGGTGGACAGACAGAAATAATACTGAGAAAAAAATTATCATAGATGCAGGACCCAACCACCCATATTCAAAACAAACATGAAGAAGTATGTTATGAAGTGTAACCATTCCGAAAATCAGAAGGAATCAAAGTTACTCAAGATATTACTTTTTTACTATTAGTGTCTTTTAAAAATACATATTTAGTCTAATTTCACCTCTGTAGATTCACTTGAGGGGATGGAAGTGAGATTGAAAGGTCAGTGAAAGCAAACTCAAAGAAAATGTCCCGAAGTATTGTTGGTCCTTTTCTTTAATCGAAGAAGAAACAGAAAGTCTTACCATTTTTTCAGAACAATCTTGTCCGACCTTGTGCCTGTTTGCGCAGCAATCAATTTCTTGAGATCTCCGATCGTGTCATCTTCACTTTGACAAGTCAAGGAAAAGGATAAGATTTTTCAGCCTAAGCTCATTCCTATCTGTCTTTATTTGTAAACAAAACTAACACAAGAAAGACTTGGCAAAACAAAAATGCCTCAAAGGGAATAAGTCACACACTCCACAATGAGCACATTCTTAGTTTCTTAGCTCTATTGGGAAATTATCAAGAGGAAACAAGGGGGGCAACCTGAGACAAACCACAGTAAAACAACGAAAGGGCGGTGATGTGCTATCTTGAAGCATTTAAGATTTGAAAATTTGCACCGCGTGAGGGTTGCTAGTGAAGATTTAGATGACATAACGTTCAACATTCTTTCTTGGTAAAAAAAATAGGAGAATTTTAGCTAATCAATAGTTCACTTTCAAGACAAAGAAGAAAAAAATAGGGGATTATGTGTTCTTTCAGATTACCTGTTTTCAGTTTTCAGTTTAAGCGGAGTCTACAAAAGGATACTTGCACTTGACTCTGACTTTTTTGCCCAGCCGATCGTTGCACGTGATTTCTAACATGCTGAAAATTAACAGTTGTTGATCCAAACCTGTATTGGAAAAAAAAAATTCAGAAGAGACGATAATGACCTTCTAACAGAAATCCATAAATGAACAATAAACTCACAAAAAACAACAACAACCAACAAACAAAAAACCAAATGTTTCAGTAAATCCTCTGTGGTATATACAGCACTGTGGATAAATCTATGTTCCAATCTCATTTTTTAAAAATGTCCAAAGACATGGACTGATGTAATAATAGGTAGGCTCCATTCTCTTACAACAGGCATGATCCTGACAAGTTGACACTATTACACTTAACAATTTTGACAAGGTCTATTTAATGGGTGGATTCTGTAACCTAAAAACTGACATGGTCTTTTTAATGGGTGGATTCTGTAACCTAAAAACTGACAAGGTCTATTTAATGGGTGGATTCTGTAACCTAAAAACTGACACTGTCTTTTTAATGGGTGGATTCTGTAACCTAAAAACTGACAAGGTCTTTTTAATGGGTGGATTCTGTAACCTAAAAACTGACAAGGTCTTTTTAATGGGTGGATTCTGTAACCTAACAACTGACAAGGTCCTTATAATGGGTAGATACCCCTCCTAACAACTGACAAGGTCCTAATAACTACAGTGAAAATCCTGTTATAACGAGAGGGACGGGACTGGAGCCAAATGTCCGTTATAGCAGGATTCTCGTTATAAGAGATCCAGTAATAAATTCAATGAAAATAATAAAGTAGGCCTAATCTTTGAGTTAGGTGTTCTGTTTATTTTTTTTGTTATCTCCCCTTATGATGCTTTGGTTTCAACATGACATCCAGGTCAAACTTGATCAAAAATCGAATCAGGTTTCTTTCTCTAGCACTAGCGATGTAGACAGCTCGGCGTTGGCAATCAAAAAGAAAGGGCTCTAGGCTAACTCGCCCGCTGTGTTGTTCCCCACACCACCACACCCTGTCGAGCGTTCCGTCTCCTTTTGCACATGGGTACACACCACACTCTGCCCACGTCACTCATTCGCTCCATCTATCACAGCACT